TCAAGTGAGTTAAACCGTTTTTACAGAACAAGCAGGTGGTTTTCTTTAAACAGTTAAAAGCAGGGGGTTGACATTAAGCTTCCAAAGTATCCTGCACTGAAATTTGCAAATCACTCCCCTAGGGTGTGAAATACATGTCTGAAATAATGCTACATATATACAAACTATTCCAAATACAAGTTAATGATACGACAGATTTCTAAGTGATCAGAGTCTATATTTCCTGGAAGCATGATGTTTATTTACAATTCCCAAATCTATCAATATTTGATTTAACTGCTTACCTTTCCACTATCTTCTCTTGTATCTCTGCTTTCTGTATGGATCCTGAGTGGGAAACTACGGGAGCAGCTGTAGTTTTGCTGTCAAAGAAGTCTGTCAGAAAGGACAGAAGCTTATGAACAAAAGCTTCTTTATAAAATTCTGACTAGACAGGAATTTCAATTAATACCTTACTGAATCAAGGGAATAACAGTCATACATTATTTAACTTGACAGCCTCAAACAAATAGAACATAAAATCAGTAACATGCTGAGAAAACACCACACAATAACAAACTAGCAAAGAATCTCCTTTCTCTACTTCTAATGTTACACACCCTAACCAACTAACAGCAATAAGTAGAATAAATAAAAACTCTTCCATCATCAGTTAAAACACAGCTTCTCCTTACTGATTCACTTACTATTTCAGTCAGCATTACCTGCAGGCAGAGAATTAGCGATTACTTCTTCAGTTGGAGGTGGAATTTCAGTTTTATGCGTAACAGAAGATTTGTTTGACTGATCTTGTTCCTCCTCTTCATCATCATCATCATCATCATCATCATCATCGTCGTTGTCATAATTTCCGGACAGTAAACTGGGACCCGGACCCTTTGAAAGCTGTTCATTTGCACTATCTTGATCTGTTTCATCAAAAAAATCTGCTGGTAGCCTAGTAAAGAACACACAACGTAACTACGTCAAACTTCACAAAAACCAGTTCCAGTCTAGCATCCGAATCCTATTCAATCTGTGAACAATATGATCTTTTAGATCTTGTGCAATACCCTGAGCTGCGCAGCTACTGATGTAACCACTGTCTGAAGGCAGCACACATTGTCGCTCTCACCTGCAGTTCCCCAGAAATGCTCAGGTTAATGCTGAAAACACCTTTCAGTTCCCTTTTTGTATTTGAATATTCAACATCAGAAACATTAATAACAAAGTGCATTTGGAGGAATGGTAGCTTAGGTAATTCTATTTCCTCAAAGTTATTTGCATCAGTGTACCTGCTGTGAACACATTAAACACAAAATTCATAGTTCAGCAGTCATACTAATGTCACATAAACCTTGAGAACCTTCATGTATAACATTTGGGTACCTACTGCTGCTCAGAAGAGCCACACAGGCTGAGCAATGAGAAAACCCAGATTTGTGTTTAGAGCAGTTGCAAGCCTCCAAGCCAAACTTTTTTCTAGGCTATATTTTAAAATAAATCAAACTGATCAGTTTAATACTGAACCAACCTCTCAGCTGTTCATTTTGCACACATACTCAAAACCTCTACAAAGTAAGTCAAGATAACAGCACGTAGTATCTATGCAAAATAATAATAATTTATCCTGTAAAGCATACAGGAAAACTACAGTCCTCGTATGACATTTACCAACCCCACAAACATGTCCAAATACCATTAGAAGTCCTCAGTGGCAGCTGGATGCTTAACCCAATCCCTTGAAGTAAAATACACTCCTGTATTTCTGAGAGTTCAACTGCACGATAGGCATTTACGTGAATTTTAAGTGACAAAAACATCTTAATAAAGATCCGTTGATTACATGTTAGTAGTTTTTTGTGAATAAATATCATTTAAATGTACATTTAAATATACATTTAAAATTTATCTTCATTTCAGACTACTACCTCTTCTGCAGTATGCCAGCTTTGAAGCCTAGAGTACATGCCACAATCTGGTTATTTTCATTCTAGCAAGCTGCGTAATACCACCAAATATTAATCCTTGAAAGTCTAATAGTGACAATAAAATAATTCCTTTTTTGTCAGAGACTAGAGAGTTAATACCATGATTTTCTCATCTGCACTGAGGAAGATTCTGCTGTGTCCAGGAACATACACCCACATTAGAAAATGAGCAGAAGCAGTGATCTGCTGATTCTCTGAACCTTTACCCTTGGCTAGGAAAGAGATGAGGAAGAACAGGGTGAGAATGCAGTAGTTGGTACAGTTACAAAAGCTCATATACAATGTAATAAGATCTACTTACCCAGATGTAGATGTATGTGGCTTTTCATCTGTACCTGTGTAACAGCCAAAAGTCACTTCTTACAATCCGTGCTTTCAAAAGAAATCTCTCTCAGACAGACTTCTACAGCAGCAAGTTCACAAATGCACACTTTCATATATTTTATATATTTATATCCATATATATTCACATACAATACCAAGGGAAAAAAAATAACTATCTTTCCTTTAGCATGAACTTTCATGCATTGTTTGAGGTAAATCAGTGACTTGATCCCACTGAAAAGGAGTAAAACTACTTCTCGGCAAGTGCTTCTACTGTTTAACTGACACTGTTTCTGGTTCTATGTGGACCAAGCCCACAGCTCCATGACCTAATTTAACCAAATTACCCAGGAGAAAACTAGGTAAATGACCAAAAGCGCAGTTTTCTCCTGATCAGTGAACTTACAGAAAAAGAACAAGACAGCCCCTTTGCAGCAGCAACAGGCTGACATTAACTCAACAGTCTTGTGTATTCACACTCACTTCCATGGGAAAAAAACAAGCCAAAACCATTCAAGATGTGAAATGACTAGATTCTGGAAAGTGCCTGGTAAGTATTTTTCTCTCCTTACCTTTTATTCTCTTTAAGTCTGTATTTTCCACATCAACAGTTTTTCTCTTTACAGGATGAGATGATGTGCTAGCAGCTGAACCAGTTGCTGTCTGCTTTGCACTTTTTAGTTCTGCAACTCTCTGTGAAGAAGTAGAAAATTTAGGAAGCCTTCCTAGCAGGAACAGTATTGCAGCTTAAAATACAGGGCTTTTAGAACAGTTTTATAAAGCGAGCTAATATCTTTCTAAACAAGATCAGTGAAACAGACATCACAGATACCAAACCCAAGATCAATACTTCTGTCAGCCTCTTGAATGATGTGAAATGGGGGCAGAGGACTTGACGTTTGCATGAAGGAGGCTGTACGAGTGACAAAGGCTAAGATCAGTGACATTTACAGCAGTAAGACACTAGAGGAAAAAGCAGGAAGAGCTGGACTTATCCTGAGGTCCTTAAACATTAACTGTTTTAAATCTAAAACACAAAAGGATGTATTACAGACATGTCACTGTGCCTTGCCATGATGATCTACTCAGAATGCAGGCAATGAACTAGGAACCCCTCAGTTCTTTCAGTATTTTCCTCAACAACTGTAAAATTAAATGCAATCTCTCAGTTTCCACTAAGAAGCAGCAGCAGCATTTAAAAAGGATAGACAATCAGATTTAAGGTTACCTCCAAGTTAACAAGTTCCCTGAAATTGTTTTACAAATTGTTTATTCCTAAATTATAAATAAATAAATAAGCTTATTTTCTGAACCACGAGTAAGCTGTTCCTTGATAACACAGAGGTAACAAAACAACCCCAAGGAGTATTTCCAGGTCCGAGCTGCAGAGAGGTGACAGCTACAAGTTGTCGCTAAGGTGGGAGCCGCTTTACGTTAGGAGCGCGCCCGTTGAAAGACACGGGACGCTTCTCTCAAGCCTTTTAACGGGTACGCAGTCTTAACGAAAACGACAAAACCATCAGGCTTGCCTCCTACACAGCTCCCTCCCGGCAGACGCTCCCCTGCTACCTGTGAGCGTACACCTCAGAAAGCAGCAAGCCCCCGGCCTCCGTGGGTCACCTCCCCCTTCAGACGCGGGGCCCGTCTCCCCCGGCACAACCAACCTCCGGGCGGGGCCGAGCTGCCGCCCCGAGCCCCCCCGCCGCCGGGCACAGGCCCAGCCCGCGCCCCCCCTCACCTCGCGGTGCTGCTTGCCCAGGGCGTGGGTCTGCCACAGCAGCTCGCTCTTCACGGGCGCGTTGCACAGCGTGCAGCTCAGGTGTCCCAGGCTGTTGTACGTGGCGGCCGCCGTTAAGGGAAGCAGGAGACTGCGGCGCGGACCCCCGCCCCTCATCGCCCCGCGACGGCCACCCCCGCCCGCCCGCCCGCCCGCCCTCCCTCACACCCGCCCGCCCGCCGGGCCGAGCCAGCCCCCGAGGCGAGCGCTGGGGAAGCCTGGGGCCGAGGATATTTGGCGAAGGGCGAGTCGATCCGCTTCTTCCCCGCGTTCTGCCGCTGCTTCTCCCGCATGAGGCGCCGCAGCTCCTCCTGCCGCACCTGCTTCCGCCCCGAGCCCACCCCGGCCGCCGCCATCTTCTCCCGGCGAGCCGAGCGGGGCGGGGCGGGGCGGGCGCCCAGACCGAGGCTACGGCTCCGCCCCGCGGCGCGACGCACGCTGCGTGGGCGGGGAGGCGAGCAAGCCCCACCCCCCAGCCAGGGGCGGGAAAATCATCTCGACGTACGAGCGGACTTCAACCCTCCGGCTCTGTCAGGTTTTTCAGCAGTTAAGCCTCTGGAACACTACTATGACTTAAGAGGCACCAGCATCCTGCTGTGGGCCTTGTCTATGAAGAAATTTCCCCCCCCCCAAGCAAATAAATAAATAAAAAGCCACAGTACATCCCAAACACCCAGACCCCCTCAGCATGCAACACAACTGCAAAAAAGCGCTTTTTCAAAAACCAAACTAAACCGCGGCTTTTCTTTAAGCTTCAGCTTGTTGCCATTCACAGTGACAGTTCAGGCTTTGTCTCCCCGCACCCTTGCACGGCCCACTGCGGTTCCCAAACGCCTTCCCACTCGCCCGCGCAGCACGCTGCATTTTCCTCGCCAAAATAAAGCCCACCTCCAGCATTTAGTAACCACATCACGACCAAAGACAGCAGAGAAATTTCCATATTTTATTTTTATCTTTTCATTTATGATAATACACTAAAATAAGTTAACTAAAAAAAATCTAGCCCCGAGTTTCATGGTGTCAAGTACTCCCCTCCGAACCATGTTAAGAGTCAAAAAAGCATTACTCCAGGTTTACAACAACATTACCTTAATGAGGACTTGGTCACAGAGGACACCACTACAAGCAGCATTATTTTAGGCTGTTCCCAGAGAGCCAGCTGCCCCACGGCTCCAGACTCTGCGGCTCCTTGAACGTCAGGTTTGGTTCGTCTCACACCAGCCTACAGGAGCTGGGGCAGAAAACGGGGCACGGGAGCGCATAATTCGATTTTCATTTTCATAAAAGACAAACTTTGTGGTAAGACGTTTTGGCCAGCTGGCACATCCAAGCTGTGTAAACACAGCCAAAGCAACACAGCGACTGGAGGAAGACCATGGGGTAAGCACAACTAAGGCAAAAAGGAGTAACTTCTTTTTTGACATGATCAGGGCAAATATTTGGGGTGAGGAAATGATTCAGTAGCAAAATAGGTATCACAGTACACCTAGACTACAGAATCACTGAGACTATAGCTTAAACTGGATTGAGATCTATGTTTACCTTTGCAAATTCTGAAGCATATTTAAAATCTCCTCTTCCTTCCCCATCCTCCCACAGCTGCAGTCTGCTGCACTTTTTTTCAAAAGCACAGAAGTTTGCTTTTACTGAAATTTAAGGCTATTATGAAAAAAATTAAGTGTAAGAATCCTCTTTCAAAACTGAGTATAAAAGTCAATACACTTCAGAAGGTCTTAGAAACCCTAAATACAACCATCCATTTTCCAAAATGAATCAACTCATTTTTGTATTTGGAAGACAAAAGATTTTATTCTGCTAAAGTTTGTCTTCATACACATACTTTTGTCTTAGAAACCAAACACTCTGATACCAGGAGTTACCACTGTAAGGTAACATCAGCTCAGGACAGCCACCCTTTGCTGAATCCAGATGTGCTGGTGGGAGAGGTTCATCATCAGTCTATTAGCCTCAAAGTACCAGATTATCAAAAAATCTACTATGGAACACCTTAAAGTTAATCCACTTGGCTTTGAGACAGGCTGAGGATGTACTCACACAAGCACACCTCAAGAAGCAGCAGTTTCTGGGAAGACGATGTCTGCATATAGCCTTAGTGTTCTCACCCAAGAGAGAAAAATACGAAGGAGCAGCAGAAACGGACACAGTCCTAGCCATGACCACAGCTCCCAGTTCTCTACATGGGCACAAGAGGATACTTTGCTCATTATACATGCATCTGTGAAAGTTCAGTGCATTAGAGGACTTACGTTTGAGAGGGTGAGGATCCTTTCCATTACAGGCAAGGGGATAATTTTGCACCCCCTGAACTAGGCGACAGTGTTGCTGGTGGTTTAAGAGTCACCTGAATCTGGTCCAGAAGCAGCACCAAGCTAGGCAGGGCCTTCACAAAAATGGCTACAACCAACTCTTCTTACTCCTAACCTGAACTGTGAAGATGAAGCATGACCAGACCAGTAGCCTAGGAAAAAATATCCACAGTCCTACCAAACATACCATTTCTTAGCATGACAGACAAGCTTCCGAGGAGTTTAGATCTTAAAATCCTCCACAGATGCTGAGAAGAGAGTTACATATGGAAAAAACACAACCTTGAAGAAACTGGTTAACAGTAAAAAATATGGCAACTCCAATCCTGGTATGGTCAAAAGGCATTTTTAGAATAAAAGTGACCCTTTCTAATGCAGAGCTATCACTTCATTTGTCCATTTGCATTTTTCACTAAAGAAATGCTCCTCCAATTACAAACATCAAAGATAATACTTTAATAATAACACTTTAGGTATTATTTAAGGTTTATAACTTATTAGAAGTTAATACCTTTTTACACACGTTTCCTACTTTTATCTTGAAAGGACAGCTAATCTTAAAACAGACACATAAGGATAAAGGCTCACTACCTAAGGGCCATTTCTAAACACCCTCAGTCTGACTCATTTGAGATGAAAGAGCTTTTATTTCCCCACGGAAACAGGCTCCTTACCGGTCACTACTTCACCAGCAACTGCATAGATGACTGACCTACTGACCAGAAGCATCGTTGAAGAAGTAACTCCTCCTATAGGTACGCTAGCTACGGGCTTTGACCAAAAACTGCAAAGTTGGCTGCACCTGCTGAGTCACTACCTCCTGCAGAAGCTTATTTTTCACCTAACAGAGAAGGCTAAGCGTGGCACATATCTGACTGCAAGAATCGGTCATAACCCTCAGACGCATGGCATTGCTAAAATAAAGTTGTGTCACTTTGTAACATTATAAAAATTCACTGATAACCTTAACAGACTAGAAATAATCACTGCAATTTTCCATTAAATATAGCATCATGAATTCAGTGAAATCAGAAAAAAAGTATAAAAACCCCTTTCAAAATAGCTCTTTAGTTATACCTTGCTTGAACTGAACCCTTCGAATATGAGCAGCATGAGTAATCTCATTTCATTTCTCACCATAACTCAAGACAGAACACAAACAATAAAAATAAGAATAATCTATAAAAACCACAGTACGTCAGAAATCTATGTAAAAAACATACATCTGTATCAAGGATCTCAGTAACAACTTAAAGCACCGCCCAAAATTAAGTACCATACATGTTACAGTACATTCCATTTATTATGACAATTTAAGGCTAAAATAGGTACGACTCCCTTATAGTCAAGCTTTCTTATATTTATAAATGCATACAAATATTAAGTAGATACAAATGCGTAGGTTTTTTTTTTTTTTATTGCTCTGAACTGTCTACTAGAACATTCGACTTTCCCAGATGTCTCAGTTTGCCTTTTTCAATCAAGTTGAAGTCCTACAATTGCAACTTACGGCACTTGTAGGATTACAGACCTTCTTTGATTTGAGCTGTAAATAAATTCAAAGACAAAATTGCCCATCACTGCAAACTTTATAACTTAGTCAACTAAACATTCATCCATAAGATACATAACAATTCACCACAAAAATTATTTCTGCCATTCTTCAGGAAGGATTTTCTTTTCAAAATAATAGGTCTGACCAAGCGGCAAACAAGACAACCAGCAAGAAATGATTGACTGGTACCAGTCTAACAGACTGGGCTTTTTCTTAAAAAAAAAACCAAAACAAAAAAACAAACAAAAAAAACCACTGAATACGTGCTCCAAAACAAAGAGCAAACTTTTCTTCTTGCTCATAGAGCAATTATGTTTCCTAATTACGTAGGGCAATGCCTCATTCTGCCAGTGCCAAATTCTTTGACTGTAGCTTGTCCATTTCTTGACCAATATTTCCTTCAATGGTATCACACTGGGCAAGAAAAACCTGAGAATAAGAAACAAACAAATGTTATTTGGGATGCAATTATAGAAATGGTAGATGCTTCTTAAGAACAGAAAAGGCAGTTTCCATCATGAATTTGAAGAAGCCAGATCAACAACCACCTTCCAGTTCAGTTTTGATAATAGCTTATTCACAATTTTGTTTACCCAGAATCCAACAGAAACATGATATTTGATAAGGCAGTAACACGGTTGCCCATCCTCACCAGTCCTGCTGCTGAATTACTCTGAATTGATCCAAAGTTCATAAATAATAATAAGGATCATAAAGGTTCAGAGAAGTAGTGCTTCAGTTTGGAAAATTACTTTTAAACTCCATTCTAAAACACATACTTCTGTAGCCGAGGGTTGGCGTGACAAATCTACTCAGTTAAATCTAAAACAAATCTTCAGTTCAAGGCCTCTAAAGAAACAATGCCAAGGAATTTATAAGCATCATGCAATGGCAAAGCGATTAAAAAATCCACCTCCCAGCACAGCTGCTCTTCTGTACAGATTTTACTTTAGAGACTCACTCTCCACAGAAAGTTGGTACGTTGCAATAGAAGCTAAATTTTCCAAAGAACACCTCTAGCAAGGTCCAGCAGGAGTTACAGTTGACTGCAACCTTGTGCTCAGACCTCATTCATTCCTCCCGCCCACCAAGATACAGGAAAGGAGGAATGATTCTCTTTTCTTTATAGGTTATCAGAATTACTTTACATCATCAGGCAGCCGTAAGGCCAACTGCTAATGTAAATTACAAACATTATCTGAAAACAGCATGAACTATGAATATCTGTACTTTTGTATTCTGTTTTATAAAGCTATTAAATACCTCTGAAAAGGAGGTCATAAGAAGTATCAATGTAGGAACAAATACTGAAAAAAAACTAAGCTCTAAACAGCTCTATTTTTCACAAACTCTTGGTATAAAAGTGCCCAGCATTAATCAAAACCCAAAAAACCTCAAAAAACTCACCTGAACCCTTTTCACCAACCCTTTCTTTTTCAGTTTGCAATCACTGAAATTCTCTGGCAGATTCTGCAGTAAAATAAACAAACAAGCTGATGCAGCTTAATGTTGAAATTACCATATTAAAATTACAGTAAAAACTGAATGTATCAAAGAATCCTCTGAACAGGCATCCTGAAAATATCATGCCTGTTCAGTGAGGATGATTATACAAGAAAGAATTTAAAAGAAAAAGTCATAAATTCAAAAAGTCAGGAATGCAGCATGCTGATTGCAAAGAACTGAGGTAGCAAATTTACCCTGTGTCTTTAGGTAACGTACAGCAATAGGCTACATACACTGCTTTTGTCTACTGGGGTGTAAATGGTTCGGCCAAGCTTCAACTTCAGTTTTTCTCAGAGACTATAAGATGAATTAATTTCTTACAAACACATTAACTCAATCACTTGCCATCATCAGAATGCATCATCGGTAATGCAGGCATTGCCAGTCTGTTTAAGCTGTACATCTGACCTTCTCTGCAATCTACTCATGGAAGGCAACAGATATGAAGTGTTACGTGCTGACAGCTTTTAATTTAATTCAAACTGCATCATTTTCTGTACTCCTACCACCCAATATATTCATGTATGTCACCGCAGCAAATGCTTTGTTCTTTTGGAACTATGTGAAATTGTGGTGTGGGTGGGGAACGGTGCTCAAGTTTATGACGTGATTTTGAAACAGGTAGAACACCAGTACAGACAATTATCATTATATAAAGTTTATGTGAAGATTCTTAGAAACATTATGCTCTCACTGTCGAAGAGGAATAAAAAACTTAGAGTTTCTCACTGGTATACCTTTTATTTTTCACCTTAACTCCACATCAAGAATAGAGGTTTCCCTATACTACTCTGTGTTTCGTTTCCACTAAAACGCAAGCCCCAGTGGGAGGTTTAGATACATAATCTTTTAAAACAGTAATAAAAAAAAAAGTGCTCTTTTCTTTTCATGTCCAGCCAAACATACATGGTCTTAAATATAGAAGTCTTGCACATAACCTAAAATAGGAGTTAAAAATACACAAAATTCCACACCAAAAAGCAGCCCACCATGGGAAGTGAAACTGTAGGCATCAATGAGATCCCAGGAAGTTCAGGGATTACACTGCTCCGGTATTCATGCAGTAATTAGCACACTAAGTGATATCAGAGAAAGAAATAATAATCACCATGCTTAATACACTTTCACAGAACCATAGGTGAGGAGAAAATGGGCACACAACAAAGTGAGCCGAGACACATTCTTACATTTCCAAGGGCAATCAAGAGACTTCAGGGCCTTGGGACAATTGGTAAGGAAAGGTGGAGCACAGGTAATTTTTTCCTCTATCCTTCCAGTTGTGGGCAGTGACATTAGAAGAAACAGATGGACCCAGTCTATTAATACCTGGCTCCATGGCTGGTGTCACCACCACGATTTTGTGTTTTCCAGTAATGGGATGGCCTACTCGGCACCAGGCCCACCAATGTCAGATGGAATTCACCTTTCTCAAAAGGGGAAGAGGGTCCTTTCTCACAAGCCAGCAAGGCTCACTGACAGAGCTTTAAGCTAGACTTGAAGGGGGAGGGGGGTAATATCAGGCTTGCCTGTGACAAGCTGTGGGAAAATATGCTGAGGTTAGAGGGCCCTCAGCCTGTTGCTCTGAGACGTGCTGGGTACACTGCAGCACACTTGAAGTCTTACAGAGATGAGCCAGAGGCTCCTGAAGTAATAGGAGCCAAGAGGGAAACATGGGTGACATACCTCAAAGGAATTAAGGGGTGTTCCTCTAAGAAGGTGACACAGCCAGCAGTCCAGCTGAAGTGCCTCTACACCAATGCACACAGCATGGGCAACAAGCAAGAGAAACTGGAAGCCACCGTGCTGCTAGAAAGCTATGACCTAGTTGCCATTACCGAAATTTGGTGAGATGAATCCCATGACTGGAGTGCGGCTATTGATGGGTACAGGCTGTTCAGAAGGGACAGACGACAAAGGAGGGATGGAGACATTGCCCTCTATGTCAAGAAACAGATAGATTGTGAAGAGCTGTCTCTGAAGAATAGTCACGAGCCGGTTGAACGCTTATGGGCAAGAATCAGAGAAAGAGGCAACAAATGGAACCCTGTGGTTGGTGTCTACTACAGGCTGTCCAATCAAGGGGAGCCTATTGATGAAGCCTTCTTACTCCAGATACAGGAGGCATCGCACTCAGTCTCTTGTTCCACTGGGGGACTTCAACCACCCCAACATCTGCTGGAAAAGCAGCATGGTGAGCTGCAGGCAGTCCAGGAGACGCTTGGAATACACTGAGAATAACTTCTTAAACCAGGTAATAGACAATCCTACCAGAGTGTGATACTGGACCAGATGGTCACCAACGCAACTGAGCTTATCAGAGACGTCAAGACTGAGGGCAGCCTGGGCTGCAGTGATCATGCACTGGTGGAGTTTGCAGTCCTGAGGGATATGGGTCAGGTGAAGAGTTAAGTCAGAAAACTTCCAGTTCTTCAAGGAGTTAGTCAATAGGACCCCCCCCCAGGAAACTGCCCTCAGGGACAAGGGAGCAGAACAGAGCTGGCAGATCTTTAAGAATGCTTTCACAGAGTGCAAGAGCTCTCACTCCTTAGGTGTAAGAAATCAGGAAAAGACAGCGAGAAACTGGCATGTCTGAGCTGAGACCTGTTGGTCAGACTAAGGGACAAGAAGGCAATGCACAGGCAGTGGAAGCAGGGACAGGTATCCTGAGAAGAGTACAGGGACACTGCCCGGTTGTGCAGGGATGGGATCAGAAAGGCCAAGGTGTGGCTGGAGCTGAACTTGACAAGGGACACAAAGAACAACAAGGGCTTCTACAGGTATGTCAGGTGGAAAAGGAAACTCAAAGAAAGCATACCCCTCCTGATGAGCAAGACTGGCAAACTGATGACAATGGACAATGAGAAGGTTGAGGTACCTAACTTCTTTTTTGCCTCAGTCTTCACTGGCAATCTCTCTTCCCACACCTCTTGAGTGGATGGACTGCAAGAGATCAGGTTTGCAACCACCTGAGCCTACATAAGTCTATAGGACATGACGAGATGCATCCCAGAGTACTGACAGAACTGGCTGATATAGTTGCCAAGCCACTCTCCATGATATCTGAAAAGACACAGCAGTCAAGTGAAGTCCCCGGTGACTGAGAAAAGCGAAACATCAAACTCATTTTTAAAAAGGGTAGAAAGGATGACCCTGGGAACTACCAGCCTGTCAGCCTCACTTCTGTGCCTGGTAAGATCATTGAACAGATCCTCCTAAGAGCTACGGTAAGGCACATGGAGGACAAGGAGGTGATTCGAGACAGCCAGCATGGCTTCACTGAGGGCAAGTCTTGCCTGACCAAGCTAGTGGCCTTCTATGATGGAGTGACTATACCAGCGGACAAGGGAAGAGCTACAGATGTCATCTATCTGGATGTCTGTAAGTTGTCTGACACAGCCCTCCACAACATCCCTCTCTCTAAATTGGAGAAACATGGATTTGATGGAGTGACTTTTTGATGGATGAGGAATTGGCTGGATGGTTGCATCTAGAGAGTAGTGGTCAACATCTCAATGTCCAGACAGAAATTGGTGACAAGTGGTATCCCTCAGGGGTCCATATTGGGACCAGTACTGTTTAATATCTTCATTAATGACGTAGTGAAATCAAATGCACCCTCAGCAAGTTTGCAGAAGACACCAAGCTGAGTGGTGAGGTTAACACGCCTAAGGGATGGGATGCCATCCAGATGGACCTGGACAAGCTTGAGAAGTGGGCCCATGTGAACCTCATGAACAAGGTCAAGTGCAAGGTGCTGTACCCAGGCTGGGGCAACTCCCGATATCAATACAGGCTGGGAGATGAAGGGATTGAGAGCAGCCCTGCAGAGAAGGACTTGGGGTTAACGGTGGGTGAAAAGCTGAACATAAGCTAACAATGTGCACTCACATCCCAGAAAGCCAACTGTACCCTGGGCTGCATCAAGAGCAGTGTGGCCAGCAAGTCGAGGAACGAGAATGTCACCCTCTACTCTGTTCTTGTGAGAACGACCTGCAGTGCTGTGTCCACCTCTGCAGTCCTCAGCACAGGAAAGACATGGACCTGTTGGAGTGGGTCCAGAGGAGGGTCACAAAAATTATTAGAGGGATGGAATACCTCCCCTGTGAAGAAAGGCTGAGAGCGCTGGCATTGTTCAACTTGGAGAATGCTCCATCAAGACCTTATTGCGGCCTTTCAGTACTTAAAGGGAGCTTATAAGACAGACAGGGATGGACTTTTTAGCAGGGCCTGTTGCAATAGGACAAGGGGTAATGGTTAAAGAGAGGGTAGATTTAGACCAGATACAAGAAAGAAATTTTTTATGATGAGGGTGGTGAAACACTGGGACAGACTGTCCAGAGAGGTGGTAGATGCCCCATCCCTGGAAACATTCAAGGCCAGGTTGGACAGGGCTCTGAGCAATCTGATCTAGTTGAAGATGTCCCCAATAGTTGCAGGGTGGTTGCACTAGATGACCTTTAAAGGTCCCTTTCAACCCAAACCATTCTATGATTCTATTTTACTTCTACATAAACTCCAGACTGAAAATCCCTCTCACTCCTACACTCAGCTGGAACGAGGAATGCACAACGCTGCTTTTCATCTCCTAGGAGAGTATGGAAGTTGGAAGTGGGAGTAACTACTACCACACTAACCTCTTCCCAGGGTCAGGTTTTTTTGTTTGTTAGTTTGCTTTTGGAAGATAGGCAAGAGAAGGAATTTTCTATTCCTGTAGTTCTAGATTCCATTTCTGTTGTTCCAGGACCAGTTTTCCCAAACAGCAGCATTGTTAAACTGGGTAAAACTCATATCAACTTTTAACACTTCCCTTTGAGATTAGAAAAGTTATTTCCTTTGCAGAGAGTTTTTATGTCCAACTGTACCTCCTGAAACAGAACCAGAAAACAGACATATTTCTTTCAGGTGCAAAAATGATTATCAGCATCAGAGATACAAGGAAGGTCACTATGCGGATTAAGGGAGAT